GCTAAAAGTGAAANTAAGAAACTAAAACACTTTTGATACAATTTTTTTCACCTATTAATCATGATTTGTCATGAAGAATAAATCCCCAAGTTTGTGGGTATAGGTTGGGAATCACCTGTATAGTGACTTGGAAAATGTTTTTGATCTTCTATTAACAGAAGATGTCTTTTACAATCAGTATATAGTCCTTTGTCAAAAGTATATGATCCTGTATTGGCAGTATCTAGTCTACAGCATATGTATAGTCATCTATTGGCAGTATTTAGGTTTCTGCCAGTAGTATATGATCTGGAAGACGTTTCTGATCTTCTGTTAACAGAAAATGTCTTCTGCAAGCAGTATCCAGTCCTTTGTCAAAAGTATCTAGTCCTGTGTTAGCAGTTCTTAGCCTTCTGCTTGCAGTATATGGTCTTCTGCAAATACTATCTAGTCTTGTTGGCACTGTATAGTCTAATATGAAAACAAATTAAAGCCCACTTTTACCATCCTCCTGATAAACTATCTAAGGGATATTTGCCATAACATTTCAGTAGCTAAGAACTGCATTTATGTATCGGATAAATTAATCAAGAGGTGGTAAAAGTGGAGCTAAGAGTGAAAGACGAATCTTGCGTAAGATATATGGTCAGATATAAGATGGTGAAGAATATGGAGAATAAGAATAAATCACGAATTGGACCAGCTCATGGATTGTACAGACATAATACGACACATAAAAACACAGAGAGCTGAAACATCTGGAAAGGATGCAGGAAAGAACACAGTGGTAGTGCTCGAAGAAGAAATGTGCGTTAAAACTGGTTTAGCAACTTCCTGGCAGCTTTTGATACATTGTCAGAAATAACAGGTTTTAAAGATCTTAAAACAATTTTAAAAGAATAATCTAGTAACTATCCTGAACCTCAATATAAAGATGTTGACCACACATCTATATTTCCACATTCTATTGGGATTCTCTAAATAACAGTAAAGGAGCAAGTAAATAAACTCGCTGAGGATACATTCATATAAAAATAAATGCATCTACAGCAAAAATGTTGGAAGCTTTTGCTTGACAATCGTTGGAAAAGTAAAATGCCCAGTTGCAGATATGTATATAGACCAAAGTGTTACAAGTAGGATACAAGGAGCTTGGTCGAAGCAAAGCAGACACTCCTTTCATTCCAGTATGTGATCTGGAAGACGTTTCTGATCTTCTGTTAACAGAAAATGTCTTCTGCAAGCAATCTCTAGGTTTACTAGTTTAAGCAGCATCCAGTCTTCTACAAGCAGTATCCAGTCCTTTATCAAAAGTATCTAGTCCTGTGTTAGCAGTACCTAATCTTCTGCAAGTAGTATCTAGTCTTGTTGGCACTGCATAGTCAACTATTGGCAGTATTTAGGTTTCTGTCAGTAGTGTGTGATCTGGAGGACGTTTCTGATCTTCTGTTAACAGAAAATGTCTTCTGCAAGCAGAATCCAGTCCTTTATCAAAAGTATCTAATCCTGTGTTAGCAGTACCTAGTCTTCTGAAAACAAATTAAAGTCTACTTTTACCATCCTCCTGATAAACTATCTAGGGGATAGCTGCCATAGTTATAGCGGTTTCTAAGAACTGGATTTATCTATCCGATAAATTTATCAAGAGGTGGTAAAAGTGGGGCTAAAAGTGAAAAACAGATCTTGCGCAAGATATATAGTCAGATATNAAGTTTCAGACAGAATATGTCCATGAAAGATTTTGGGCTTGGGAGAGAGATTAGAGTGATTCTGCTCTTTAACAATTCTGGCTGAGTTCCGAATTGATGAAGTTGGATTGAAGCAATTTTATTCTTTCAGTAAGATAAAGGCTGTTTATTAAGACCGTGGACACTAAGTAATGTATCCATGTTATGGCAATTGACGTTCATAAGCTCTAGAATGCGAATAACGTCAAAGTGTGAGGTTAAGGATATATACCAAAGCCATTACGCAAAAGTTAATGATATTGCACAAGTTTTAAAATCTTGAGTAAAGTCAAAAAAGTTTATTACGCTTCTTGATCTTGCCTAATAAATATTGAGTAAGATCATAATAAGGTCATATCATTGAATGACCAACACTTGTTGAAGTACTTGATGTTCACAACCTACACAGTGTTGGATAAACTCGATATTACACTTAAAGTTCCAAAAATGTGAAAATACAGAAACTTTGAAATATTTAAGATCTCTTTTTCTAATTTTAATGATTGATTCGAATCGATAAAGTCGGATTTAGATCAAAGTGTTACAAGTAGGATACAAAGTGCTTGATAGAAGCAAAGCAGACACTCCTTTTTTTCCAGTATGTGATCTGGAAGACGTTTCTGATCTTCTGTTAACAGAAAATGTCTTCTGCAAGCAATCTCTAGGTTTACTAGTTTAAGCAGCATCCAGTCTTCTACAAGCAGTAAACTGGATTTATCTATCCGATAAATTTATCAAGAGGTGGTAAAAGTGGGGCTAAAAGTGAAAAACAGATCTTGCGCAAGATATATAGTCAGATATAAGATGGTGAGTAAAGATTAGTGTACGAATCTGGGAGCGTGCAGCGTCTGACAGATTGGAATGGCAACGTACTGTCAAGTAAACCAAAATCTACAGAGGACCGTAGTTCTGGAAGAAGAAATGTGCGCTAAAGCAGATTTAAAAACATTCCTGGTAGCTTTTGATACATTCTGAGAAATAACAGGTAATAAAGATCTTAAAACAATGTTAAAAGAACAATCTAATAATTATCCTGAACCTCAATAGAAAGATGTTGACCACACATCTAGATATTTCCACACTGTATTGGGAGTAAATCTAAAGCTTTAAATAAACGGAATTCTCTAAGTAACAGTAAAGGAGTAAGTAAATAAACTTGCTGAGGTTACATTCATGTAAAAATCAATGCATTTACAGAAGCTTTTGCTTTTGATAATCGTTGGAAAAGGAGCTTGATAGAAGCAAAGCAGACACTCTTTTTTTCCAGTATGTGATCTGGAAGACGTTTCTGATCTTCTGTTAACAGAAAATGTCTTCTGCAAGCAATCTCTAGGTTTACTAGTTTAAGCAGCATCTGGTCTTCTGCAAGTAGTATCTAGCCTTGTTTGGACTATGTAGTATTGGCAGCATCTAGACTTCTTCCACCAATATATGGTCATTTGAAAGGTTTCTGATCTTCTGCAAACAGAAGATGTGTCTTCCAAGTAATATCTATTCTTTTATTGGTAATACCTAGTCTTCAATTAGCAGTAAATAATTTTGTGTCAACATTACCTACTCTTTTGGTAGCAATATCTGGTCTTGGACAAATATTCTGCAGTATCTAGTCTTCTACCAGCAGTATCAGATTTTCTGTAATCTTCTGGAGGAGTATGTGGTCTTCTCCGTGCAGCAGATAATCATCTACTAACCGTATCTACTTTATTATAAGATCTCCAGTAAAACGGAAAGATTTGAGGTTGGGTTGTGTTTTTCACTGAAAGACTTGTGGAATAGGTTAGGCATGTAATAAGCATTTTGCACTAAAAGCTGCTTGTTCTGTATTTTGGGAAATATCAGAGAAATTAGTAAGGCTTCACCAACCTGAGACTCAACAGCACACTGGATGATCATATTGACTATAGTACATCAATTTCTTTAATCGAACTCTGACGAGATGTCAAAATGTTAATTTTGTCGGAAAGTGACCTCAATGCTTTTACTGCCGCAGTCATTGCACGTTGTTGATCTACTTTTGCTGGTGTACAAGTTTCAGACAGAATATGTCCATGAAAGATTTTGGGCTTGGGAGAGAGATTAGGTTGATTCTGCTCTTTAACAATTCTGGCTGAGTTCCGAATTGATGAAGTTGGATTGAAGCAATTTTATTCTTTCAGTAAGATAAAGGCTGTTTATTAAGACCATGGACACTAAGTAATGTATACATGTTATGGTAATTGACGTTCATAAGTTCTAGAATGTGAATAACCTCAAAGTGTGAGGTTAAGGATGTATACCAAAGCCATTGTGCAAAAGTTATTGATATTGCAAAATCTTGAATAAAGTCAAAAAAGTTTATTACGCTTCTTGATCTTGCCTGATAAATATTGAGTAAGGTCTGAGATGTTTATTAAGATCATATCATTGAATGACCAACACTTGATGTTCACAACCTACACAGTGTTACTTAAAGTTACAAAAATGTGAAAATACAGAAACTTAGAAATATTTAAGGTCTCTTTTTCTAATTTTAATGATTGATTCGAATCGAGAAAGTCGGATTTGCCCGAATCGATACCAAACTCGATTAATTTACGATAAAAAATTAATTTGACAGATTAATTTTGACAGGTCGCCATTTTGATTTATTTATTGTAATAAATTAAGTTATCTCGGGAATTAATTGAGATAAAATAGAGGTGTTTGGTGTTAAATTACAGCGTTTTTGATGCTTGATTCGATTATTAAGGAATAAATTTAAAATTTAAAAAAAATTAAATCGGCCATTTTGAATTTTGATAAATTAGGATATCTCGAAAACTATCGAATTAAAATTAGGGGTGTTTGGTGTCAAATAAAACGATATTTTACGTTCGATTCAACTTAAAACATAAAAAATGTGTAAGTTAGAAGTGAATTTTGAAATCCACCCCTGCAACCCACTTACAAAATGTTTACAAAATCGTAAACGGACGAATCGGCCGCGCACTACATAAACAAGTGATAAATTACACTTTTATGACTATCAGCTCTAGGAGTAGAGATCGCTTCTCTCTCCAGAGTATTTTAAGTGTTTTCGGGAGTCGACGTCGCCGTTTACCGGACTACTTACTCAGAATTCAAAGGAGGAGAATTTTGAAATTCCGATGATGACTCGTCGTTTGTAAATGAGTTTATATGAACGTAAAAGCTCGTTATAGAACTGTTATAGAATGGTGGTGACAAGAAATGTTCGCACTAGAAATGGCTTTTTTGAATTTAATCGAGCGGCGAGGATAATTTTAGATTTTAAAATTAAAATTTATTAAAACTTACCTTTCGCCCCGTTCGATGGAGTTCTCGTCGGACTCCTCGGTTTACCTTGTTGAGAAGATTGAGAAAGCGCCACTTCACTAAAAAAATTAAAAGAAATTCTAACCTTAACATTTGTAATATCTTAAGAGATTTTATTGTTGGTGCACCATCTGGAGATGATCCCGACCCCAACCAGAAATAAAATCTCTTAGTTCTCTCTTAAATCTTTCCAGAAAACTCGTATCCTCACGAAACTTATACTTTCCGTGTGGATTTAAGACGTCCGCTAACAAGAACCGAGGAAACTCGACGTCGGTTTTTAATAGAACCACAACGTCGCCAAGAAGACGTTTTAATTAAGACGTAATTCGAGAAATTAACTTTGCTCGTAATCAAAACGAGGATTTATTGTTTCAAATTAAAGGATGTTTATTGAATATTTATTTATTTTAGTTTTAAATTTGATTTATTAGATTTAGTCTTTTGGGTCTTTTATTTTTGGTAAATGTCGCCTGAAGGAGGATAAATGGCCCCGAAACTATGCGAACGCATCAATCTTATTAACCGTTCGTGTGTTGTGTCTTTTCGCGTTACAAATGGGGCGAGGCAACGTGGTTTGTACGCGATTTGTCTCTTTAACTTTTCTTCCCCTAAGATTTTCTAAAAATAATTTTAACTATTAAAAAAAATTTACCTATCGTCCGGGTCACAATCTCGAAATCCTTTCGCGAATGGATTACTTGCAATTTTAAGTTGGGTTATCTAAAAATAAAATTGAAAATAAATAAATTAATTCCTTAACCCTCATAATACCAGGTTCTTTTTGTGTAATACTAATAATAATAATAATTCACGTAATAATTCCTCATAATACCAATGGGGTCATTAAAGACCCCAGACTCTTTTATAAATAAAGCAACTATATTTGTTTAAAAAGGAACATATATTTGTTTAAATAATCAAAGAAGTGTAGTGAATGTATTATATATCATACAACTATATAACAAATGGGTTCAGGGGAAAAACGTGATAAGTCCAACATTTCATTAATTGATCTAAATGATTGAATCTTGTAGTAAAAATTACGACCTATAAGATGATCGATGAGTTTTAGATGAAAACATGTTTAGTCTTGAGATATTCACAAATTATATTCACAATTCACATAATTCTTTGTGGTTAATAGTATCCCAAGATATGTTAGCAGACTTTTTTTAGTCCATTTAAACGAATAAAAAATATACAATGACAACAATATTTAGGTTGGTATTACTTGTCATTTATTAAATTTTTAGTTGACAGTGACAGCCGGTAAACGTAATTCAAAACGGTTTATAGTATNCAGACGCGATGCGGCTTTTGTCATACTAAGACGACAACAAGATGTATAAAATGTAATGTTGGATTACATGTAAAGTCTTTCGTTGATTACCATAAAAAATAAATAATATTATTATATTGTCTTGTGTCTCTAATCGCCATTAATATGCCTAGCGTACTATATATAGACAGTGTCTTTTAGACCCATGTAGTACATAAAAAATTATAATGATCAGATATCATGTTTAAATACTGTTTTCTTAGATAAAATATCATTTCAACAGTAAATTATATTTAATAGTAGTGTTTAGGCATATCTGGGTTAATCATTTTAATAAATTAAAGTCAAATGACGAACAAAATTTGCATTTGGCAGGATTAATATCTATATTGCCAATTCGGCGAAGAAGGAACAGAAAACCAGAAGCAGAAGTGTTATTTCGGGAAGCTAGTTACTGTTATAAAGTCCGCGTAGTCATGGTTGAAAATGTGGAAGAAAAAATTGTCTGTAAGGTAGCATTTATGGCTCTGCATGGTATAGGGAGATCAAAAGTCGATTATATACTAGCATCGTTAAAAAATTACGGAACAGCACCAAAGGATAAGAGAGGCAAACACAAAAATCGCCCCAACAAAATTTCTGAAGAGGTGAAGAGTGCTGTTCATGCTCATATTAAATCTCTGAAAGGAAGATCTAGTCNTACCTCCATGTTTTTGTGATGAATCGTAAGAAAACTTTTCTTTTGAAAACAAAACACCTCTTGGGTGGTTCCTAGATTTTTTTGATGAAGATCTTATAAACCTAATAACAACTGAGACAAATAGATACGCTAAACAAAAGAATCGTTTTCAAGAAGTTCTGGAATCCGAAATAAAAGCTTTTCTTGGAGTTCTTATTATTAGTGGATACCTAATTACTCCACGGCGAAGAATGTTTTGAGAACGTGATAGAGACGCTAACAATAGTCTGGTAACAGAATGTATCAGTAGAGATAAGTTTCACTGAATTTATTTGATCAAACTTTCATTTGGCTGACAATTCCACGCTAGATCAACAAGACAAATCTGCAAAGGTTAGACCTCTTTTCGAGCATTTGAATAAAAAATTTATGGAAAAAGGAATTCGTACAAAAAACCATTCAGATGAAGCCATGGTTCCGTATTTCGGTCGTCACTCCTGTAAGCAGTTCATTTATGGCAAGCCAATAAGATATGGCTATAAACTCTGGGTTGGCGCCTCTAAGGAAGGGTATGTTCATTGGTTTGAGCCCTATCAAGGTTCAAAAACAAATATTAGCAAAGTATACTGTGACCTTGGAGTTGGCCCTAGCGTTGTATTAGAATATGCGGAAGTTCTGAAAAAGAAATGGCCTAATTTGGAGTTTCACCTAGTCTTTGATAATTTTTTTACGAACATACCACTTATTGAGAAGCTGTCTGAAAAAAAACTTATGGGGACCGGCACAGTTAGAGAAAATCGACTGCGAGGAATTGACTTACGAGATTCTAAACTTTTGAAGGAGGAAAAAAGAGGGAGCTATGATTACAGGAAAATTAGTGATCAAAATATAATAGCAGTTAAATGGAATGATAATAGTTTAGTTACTCTTTGTTCCAACGCAATAAGGAGTTCAGCCAATTCGCTTTGCTAAACGGTATTCACAAAAGGAGAAGAGAAACATTCAGGCACGTAGAAAATGTAACTGTTATAAAAATGTACCAATAATGATGTTTTTTTCTTAGATTGAACAACCTGCGACCGTAAAGAGTTATAATGAAAATATGGGCGGTGTTGATCGGTTTGATCAAAATATTGGTTTGTATCGTATTTCCATAAGAGGAAAAAAATGGTACTTTTCCCTTGTTTGTCATTGTATTGACATGTCAATTCAAAATGCTTGGCAACTGTATCGAAATAATGGAGGAGAAATGAATCAGCTACAATTTAGACGACGAATCGCTAATGTTTTATTGTTGAAAAATAAAAAACCGTTCCCGTCTTCAAGTAGAGGTCGTCCATCTCAACAAGAAAATATAGATATTCGAAATGACCGTTTAGATCATTTGGTTACGCCACAAGAAAAGCAGACGCGATGCGGCTTTTGTCATACTAAGACGACAACAAGATGTATAAAACATAATATTGGAATACTTGTAAAGTCTTTCGTTGATTACCATAAAAAATAAATAATAATATAATATTGTCTTGTGTCTCTAATCGCCATTAATATCCCTAGCGTACTATATATAGGACAGTGTCTTTTAGACCCATGTAGTATATAAAAATGATAATGATCAGATATCATGTTTAAATACTGTTTTCTTAGATAAAATATCATTTCAACAGTAAATTATATTTAATAGTAAGTGTTTAGGCATATCTGGGTTAATAGACTCTTAGTGATGTTGATCTCATGGCGCCCGTGATTAACAGGCAGGCCACTCGTTTCAATTGATGCAGCAATTTAGCCTTACAGACATGTTTCAGTACTGAGCACCAAACTATGACTCCGTGAGCTACCATGGGTCTTATCACAGACGTGTAGATTCACATTTTTACCCTCGAATTTAATCCCCAAGTAATTCCAATAGCCCTTCGACACTGGGTTAGTACAATCGT